CCATGCCTGACGTACTGCACAAGTAGCGCAATACCCTCTTAGCTGCATCCATGTGTTCTGGGCGGTGTCTCCCAAGAGCAACATAGCGTGCCAGGATGCTAAGAGGGTATGCCAGGTCAGGTCGAGTGCAGGTCATCAGGTACATGAGGCAGCCAACAAGCCCTGGGTACGGGCCACTCGGCTCTACGGACTCATCCGAAGGCAGAGCTGAGAGCGAGTGGCGAGTAGACTGAGGAGTGGCCTCAGGCGAGGAGTACATGAAGTTTTAGCACTGAAGGACCTGCTGCACCATGTGTGACTAAGTCAAGGTAATGGTGCGCCGTGCTCTGTCCCGGGTGATCTGCAAGCCAAGACAGCTGCGCATCTTTCCCAGGTCTGTGCACGTGTGTCGCTTCTACAGCTCCGACTTCACATGGGCAATTCCAGTAGTGTCAGCAGTAGCAAAGACCAAGTCGTCGACGTACACGAGGATGTAGAACGGTGGCAGTGAGGTGTCGGTACGTAGAAACAGCGACGGGTCAGCAGTAGAAGGAGCAAACCCAAGAGCTGCAAGCGTAGTCCTCAGTGTGTCGTGCCACTCGCGGGGAGCCTAGCGGAGACCGTAGACTGGCCGCCGGAGGCTCCACTGGGTACCAGGAGGGAACGACCCAGTGAATCCAGGTGGGCGACGCAGCCAGATCTCCTCGTGCAGGCTCCTCTGTAGGAAAGCAGTGCTGAAGTCAAGAGAGTTAAGCTCGTAGTCACGCTGAGCGGCTATGTGCAGCAGCACCCAAAGAGTGGTCATCTTCGGGGTGGGAGAGAAGGTCTGAAAGTAGTCAACTCCCTGCCGCTCACTGAAGCCTCAAGCCACGTAGCGTGCACTTCACCCTGTAAATCCACATGCCACTGATGATGTTCGCCCAGGTGGGGGAACCTCGTCAACGTAGGTGCCTGTGGACTTCCACGAAGCCATCTCTGCATCCATGGCTGTCTACCACTGAGAGGAGTAGGGACCCTCTACCGCCTCCGCGTAAGAGCGCGGAGTCGGGATGTCTGGTGCATCCGGGTCTCCCTCAGGGGCAAGCACCATGGACACGAGATGAGGTAAAGCAGCAGCAAAGCACTGGAACTCCTCCTGCCTGTCCTCAAGGACGTCCGTGCTAAGAGCACAGTCACCCCCGACGGACGGAGGACAGTCAGACTCAGACTCAGCAACAAGACTCGCAGCGTAGTCTAGACGGCAGTGAGCAGCAAAGTCGACCAGCTGAGCAACTAAGGCAGACGCAGCAGTGGACTCAAAGGAAGGGTCGGTGACAACAGTAGCCAGGAGACGCGTGACAGTAGGACTGGCCGCACGAAGGGAGTCAGACTCCGGGTCAGCAAGAGCAGGGATAGAGGACTCAGGAGGAGACGGCAAAGGGACACGCAGTGGAGCAGTGGAAGGACGCAGAGCCATCTAGTGCGTGCCTGGGACCGCAGCAGGACGCTGACGCGGAAGACGACGACCAGTGCGAGCAGCACGAATAGGCGACGCAGGACGAGACTCAGGCTCATGATGCTCAGCGAGACCTCCAGTAGGACCAGTGTAGGGAGGAGGAGGAGGCAGTGGGGAGGCGAGCTGTAACTGTGACTCGGACTGGACAGGCGGTGGACACTCTAAGGAAGGAGCAGGACGAGTAGAAGGCGGGAGACCAAGAACCTGCTCAAGGAGCGGAATGAAGTACGGCCACGGCCGCGCAGCGCCTCCAGGACGAGCAGGGACAGCACCAGCACCCCCAGTGTCAGCACTAGCGCCAGCAGCTTCACCAGCTCCAGCAGCACCCCCACGAGCGCCAACTCCAGCAGCACCCCCAGCAGCGCCAGGAGCGTCAACCCCAGCACCCGCAGAAGCACGAGCTCCAGCAGCGCCATCAACGTCAGCACCTCCAGCAACTCCAGCTCCAGCAGCACCTCTAGCATCGCCTACGCCAGGAGCACCTCCAGCTCCAGCACCAGCAGCACCACCAGGCCGAGCAGCTCCTGTACCGCAGGTACGAGCACCTCCGGGATCCGTGGCTCCAGAACCTCCAGCAACCGCAAAACCTCCAGCACCGGTAGCACCACCAGCTCCAGCAGCACGACTCCAGCGGCGAGCAAACCACTCACGCATTTTTTGGGGAGAGGGCAGCTCCCGCCGGGACGAAGCACCCGCAGGACCTCCAGGCCCAGCACCACCAGGCTCCACTCGAGCAGGCCCAGCACCCTCAGGCTCCACACCCCCAGACTCAGCAACCCCAGGCTCAGCACCCGCAGACTCAGCACCCCCAAGCTCCGCACGTCCAGACCCAGCATCCCCCGGCTCCGCACGCTCAGGCTCAGATCCCCCAGACCCGGCACCCGCACGCTCAGCACCCCTAGCAGCACCAGAGTCAAAAGCTCCCTCAACAAGCTCGACAGTGTCTACCTGAGACACACCTGAGGGGGCAAGACCCTGAGGGGGGAGGGGGTCTACCGGGGGGGGAGTTGGCGCGAGAAAGAGTGGCGAAGGGGGGGAGGGGGCCAGTGCGGTAGGGGAAGAGACGGTAGTATAGAACCGACTCGTCAAACGTGACGTCCTGGGAGGACAGGACACGGCGCAAGGTGGGGTGGTAAAATTGCTAACTAGGCGCGTCGGGGGGGGTGCCAAGGAAGACGCAGGGAACAGCATGGGAGGACAGCTTGCCCGTAGACAAGTCTCGGACGAAAGCCCGAGATCCCCAGACACGGAACGTAGACACATCACCAACCTTCCCCGTTCACCGCAACGTGGGGGAGGTCTCTGGCAAGGAGACACGGGGCTGAAGGTTGATCTGCTGCGCCACGTACTGAACCGCGAACGGCCACAAAAAATGGGGAGCAGCCGCATGGATCATTGACGTACGAGCGACGTCCATGATTATGCCAATGCGGCGCTCAGCAATCCCATTCTGCTGTTGAGAGGCCGGAAGCGTGAACGTCTGGCCGATGCCCCTCGCACGATAGTAGGCTCGCAGAAGGTCGGAGGAAAACTCTCCACCTCTATCAGAGTGCAGACGCAGAATAGGAAAGTCCGAGCCGAAACTCTTCCTTAGGTGGAGACGAGCAGCGCGGATCCGGTCGATCAACACCCCAGTGACCTCACCCTTGGTGCGCAAGGGGAAGAGAGTGGTGTAACGCGAGTAGCGTCAACCACCAAGAGGAAGTAACGCTCGTGACCCTGTCCACGGACGCGGGCTGGGCCCCACACGTCCATGTGAAGAGTCTGCAGCACAGCCTCTGTCGGCGGAAACTCGGAGGAGTGAGGAGCGGCGCGCTGCCGCCTCTCGACGCAGGGAACACAGGTAGGGGCAGGCCCCGGAGGAAGGGGAGGGAGGGACCGGGGGAGACCAGAGACAAGGTAACGGGAGGCCATGCCTCGGAGACGAGGCAGGGAGGGGTGACCAAGGCGGTGGTGCCAGAGGAGGGTCTGGTGGGACAGGAGGCGACACGAGCAGGGGGCAGACTCAGAAGCAGACCTGGACGCTGCAGCAAACACCGGACCCGACGCAGCTACCTGACAAGACGCAGCAACCGGAGGAGACTTGGTAGTCAGTGTGTACAGACTCGACCTCGGCTGACGGGTAAACGTGGCCAAGTGTCGGCCCGTCCGAGCACACGTGCAATGGGTCGCCCGCTTACTCGCAGGAGTGAACTGGTCTACTCCCCCATCCTGCAGGTCAGCACTGCTCACCAAGTTCGTAGAGAACGAGGGGAAATAAAGACCTGACAAGGAGCCAGACGGGGCCGTTGGACACGGTAAGACAGTGGAGAAGTGGGCAAGGACAGGACCCCCAGAGGGCTCTGCCAGGGAGACCGCAACCGGCCGACTAAGCGGCGTGAGGGTGGTGCTGTCTCGAAAGAAGAAGCGAGAAGCACCCGAGTCAAGGGTGAAGGTGTGCAAAGCCTGAGCTGTTGGGTGCAAATTCACATTGCACGACATCCTGCCGTCTGTTTGTACGAGTATGCGTGTGCGAATGCATTTGCGTGTGAATGGTATGTTTGTGTGTTTGTTTGCTTTCGCAATTTTTCGCTTGAAGCATTTGCAGGTACTCGCAAAATGTGCGCTTCGGCATAACATTGTACGCGCTATGAACAGTACAAGCAGAAAGGACGAGCTCGCAAAGGAACCCAAGATGGAAGCTTTGCGGTTCGGCTTACTTGATTGCGCAGATTCAGTTCTATCCAACTCGAAATTGTACTGTTTTGTTTGGTTGACTATAGTGTAGCAGGGCAGGCACTATAGGGGTACAATTTAGGTGAAGGTTGGATGTTGTTTGTCTGTATCTGCATGCTACAGGGCCAGGGGAAACCAGCGGAACCAGCATTTGGCTGGTTGGGCAAAGACAAAACAGGTTCTGTTTTTAGGACCTGAACCTGGTTGTTGTTTTCCCAGGTTGGAAAAACAGAACCAGAGGTTGTTCACCAACCTATCACCTGCTATTTTGTTCAGCCAGGTTGGTTCTGTTGCTTGGAATTATTTGGGATCATCCCTGGTTGTTCCCAGGTTGATTCCCAAGGTCCTTGCTAGCTAGAGCTATTTATTCCTTCTCTGTTTGTACCTGAATATAGTGAAATTGATTCAAGCGAATTCCTTCCTTGCTGGAATTTCTTTTCTACGCGGTGCGATGGCGGAACGCTACCCGAGTCAACGCTAGTACGCTAGCACTCCAACGCTAGGCTAACGCTGTCCGAGCCATAACTTCGTAATGGCAGAACTTTTCGCGAGGCAACTTGGCTTATTTTAAAGCTCTTAGAGTGAGCTTCGATATAGGAAATTCTCAGCTTAATCCGATCGACGGTCTGCACGATACGCTGCGCGACGTTCAAGGTACTCTTGCTGTTTTGACTAAGTCCCTCTTGATCCCTCTCTCTACAAACTCGGACCCGAGGATAGGGGCTGGTCTTGTACCAGGCACCCAAGGACCCTTGGAGGTGACCCCGAGGAGAGGTTTTAAGTGTGATAAAGTCTTAATAGCTTGAGTTTATTAGGCCCTTACACCAACATGAGCAGACGTGGTACCTGAGAGAGCAGACTCACCAGCACCTGGAGCAGCAGACGCACTAGTACCTAGAGCAGCGGACTCGCGAGCACCTAGAGCAGCAGCTGCAATGCCCGGGTCAGGCGGAACACACAGGTAACAGTCACCCTCATCAGTAGTAGTCACAACATACATGGCAGCAAGAATAGCATCATAGTCAAGATCAAAGATAGCAACCCCCAACCTAAGCAAATCACCCCAGCGAATGATCTCAGAGGCGTCAGAGAACTGGAGACGCCAGGCGTTAGTCAGGCGGCCAAAGTAGCGCTGGGTGGTGTGCGGGCCGCCGCACGGCTCGCCAGTGCGGTCGCCGGTACGCAGGACGTAGGCACAGGGACCAGCACCCCCACCTCGCTGACGCGCAGCGTACCACTCACGAAGCTGCTGGGGGGGAGGGGTCTCACGAGTGCGTTGCTGCTGCTGGTGCTGACCACCACCGAAGCCTCCCTGCTGCACAGGGCCACCCCGACCAGCCCCACCGCCGCCGCCGCCACCTCCACCCCCACCACCACCGCCGCCGCCGCCTCCGCCTCCACCGCTGCCACCAGAGCCCTCACCCCCGCCACCACCCCCACCGCCACCCCCACCCCCTCCACCGCCCCCACCGCCCCCGCCCCCTCCCCCAGCACCCTTGCCCCCCCTGCTCTTGCCGTTGCGGCACCGCCCGCTAGGGGCAGACGCAGCACCGACCGACTCGGTGCCAACGAGGTCTACAGCAGCAGCAGAGGCAGCAGAGGGAGCACCCCTCAAAGAAAGGGCCACGAGGGTCACCACGAGAGGCTCCTACAGCGACTATACTCTTCTCAGCTGCAAGGAGGCGCTCCTCGAGGAGGTCAACGGTGAGTGTGGTGGGGCAGAGAGAGAGAGGAAGTGATCCCTGGTCGAGCGAAGGGAGTGAGGGAGTCGGGTGACTAGGTAGTAGAGGGTGATGTACATAGGGGGGGGGTTCTTGGCGCAGAACTCAGCAGGAAGCGCAGCGCGGTAGCGGGTGTCACTAGTGCGAAGGTGCGTAATCAGGTCACTGATTGTGGCAAAGGCGGCGAGGTCTGGGAATAGGTACGGCAGCATGAGGCGACTAAGGGTAGCAGTGGCAGGGGAGGAGTAGCGTGCAACTACAGCGTCGTAGAAGGTCTTAGCGGTCTTGTACTGGCTAAAGTGCGCGCGCTCAGTGGGTGGCAGGTGACTACGCACAGCAAGATGGGCAGCAGCATCGCGTGTGGTCCACTGTGAGCGAACAGTACTGTAAGCATCGGCAGCAGGGGCAGTTGAGGCACCAGACGTAAAATCAAACAGGGAAATACCGTCCTTACTATCGCACTGCAGGAAAAGCTGCAGATCATCGACCCAGACATTGAAATCGACCGCCCGACCCTCAGCATCAAAGGTTAGCATAGTAGGACTAGCCATGACAGCAGTAGCAGCAGGCTAGTAGCAGCAATAGCAGCGCGACACGGCTTGACGGTGCGGCTCAACAGGGCAACACGGTTCCGCAGGGCGGCGCGGCTCGGTAGTGTGCTTACCAGGGGCTGGCCGTGGTGCAGTGGCAGGGTCGGGGCGGCAGAGCAGGGCCGCAACGAGGCGGCAGAGCAGGGCCGCGACTCGGCTGCAGGGGAGGGCCGGGGCAGCAGTGACGGCGGCAGCTGTTGCAGGTTCGGTGGCGGCAGCTGCGGCAGGTCCGGCGGCGGCAGCTGCTGCAGGTTCGGCGGTGGCAGCTGCGGCAGGTCCGGTGGCGGCAGCTGCTGCAGGTTCGGCGGCGGCAGCTGCGGCAGGTCTGGCGGCGGCAGCTGCTGCAGGTCCGGCGGCGGCAGCTGCTGCAGGTTCGGCGACGACAGCTGCGGCAGGTCCGGGGGCGGCGGCTGCTGCAGGGGTCGCCTCGGCAGCTGCTGCAGGTGGAGGCCGCAACGAAAGGAGGGGCGGGGCCGCAACAGAGGGGCAGCACAGCCGGGAGGGGGGGGGGGCCGCACCAGCGGGTGAGCAGGCCGCGCGGAGCCGTCACGGCAGTGGCAGCGGCGAACAGCAGCGGCGGCAGCGGAAGCGACAGCAGCTGCTGCTGGGCGGCGGCGACGGGGCGGCAGGGCGGCCAAGACGGGCCGCGAAGAGCCGCGGAGGGGCCGTGGAAGGGCCGCGAGGAGCCGCGGAAGGGGCCGCGATGGGCCGCAAAGGGGCCGCGAAGGACCGTGAAGGGGGCCGCGAGGTTAGGGCAGGGCGCGAAGCACGATTCGGGCAGGCTAAAAACATAATCGGTGGGCCCTTGAAAAAAAATAGTTCCCACTAGGGAACCTGCTCAGAATACCATGTGAAGAGAATAGCGAGGAATGAATGAACTAGGAAACAGTTGGATACAAATGTGAAACCCTAGAAACCTGTACCCCTTAGAGTCTACCCCACTACAGCCTACATAGGCTAAGTCATATATATCTAACAAAACGAACCTGTACAAAAGGGACAACACAACACTGGGCTGTATGATTGCATACATGATAGAAACGTGTGCATTAATAGAAGCAATAAGATTTACGGCTACCAGAATGAGCAGAAGCTGCGACGCATAGATCCCCAGTGGGCGGTCTGGATCATCCTCCGTCACAAACAGGCGCGCACACGCCATGAAGGCTGGGCTGGAAAATGGATGGCCGTTAAGCAGGTGCCACTCTTTGCCCTTCAACCCTGTGATAGAGCGACCAAGCACAGAAAGAGGAGTAACAGTGAAATACAGCGTAAGGACAGGCTGATTTGGGATGACAGGGTAAGAGCTTCAAGTCAAGAACTTTTAATTGGTGCAATACATTGAGAACCAGAGTACAAACAGGGTGAACAATTGGTTACAGGGTTTAAACACTTACTACTACCATACACGCCCACATAGTTATGGCAGCGGGTGGCAAAATCGTCCGGCTCCAATGCTCGGATGGACCCGTTTGGTGCACGCTTAATCACGAACAGCCGCGCACACCGTATCAACCGCAAGCTCCGTAGAGCTTGCCAATGCAGTTGTTAAACCGCTTCTCCGTCTTTTTGACAATGTTCTTGTCCTTGAGGTGCGCCACCAGCCTCTTAGCTTCGTCGCTGCCTGCTGTAAAGCCTGCATGTGCTGTGCAAAGTACAAACACGGGCGGCAGCCAATAACTCAAATCGCAGCAACACCAACAAAGAACACATCGGCTGCTTACCTACTAGGCGTTGAACAAAATCACTCCGCCTCGGTGACATGTTCACGTAGTCCCCATCAAAGAGAAAATCGTTGACAGTTTTTGTCATCATTCTCTGCAATAGCAACACAAAACACTTATCAGTCATGAACCGCAGTAAACAGAGAGCGAAAGCGCTAAGAAATAAACGCACATCGAAATCAAGATTAACTATCTTCTGCAGGAGCACAGCATCTGAGAGAGAACCGGCGATGCCAAGAGCTTTCAGGACCTGAACGTCCTTGGTCTTGCAATCGGTCTGCAGCAACTGAACAGTCTCGCGAGCAAGTGCAGCCTACGCACAAAGGCTCCGATTGCCCAGGTTTGGGCGCGATTCGAGATGGAACTTATTGGCCTCTGGACTAGGATTAACTCCCGCCTGCTTCAAGGTACGAGCATAGATTGTGAGACCTGCAGGGCAAGGAAGAACGGAGGTGAGAAAACGGAACTAGTTAGTTGCACACACAAACAGAACGCGCGTAAAAACTTACAACTTGCGCCGTTCCCCTGTAGAGGTTGCGCCATTACGTCCGCAAAGAGCTCGCCCTCTTCTTCCACAACTGCTTCCGTAGATGCAGTAGATACACTCACGGCAGCAGCAGCCGGGTTTGCCACAACATGACTTGGATCAGGTTGGGATGCTGAAGGAAATGCAGCGGCAGGAGTAGGATCGGCAGCGGCAGGAGCACGATCGACAGCGACAGAAGCACGATCGGCAGTGGTAGGAGGTGAAGCGGTGGGAGCTCACGAATTTCCTGCGACGGCAGCGACTAGCTGGTGTGTCGGCGCCGACCCGGCACCAGACGAACGAACAGACGCGATGCTCGCGCATTTGACACCGGAGGCATGCTCGCCTTGACACTTGGTGCCGCATTTGCCACAACGTGCTCCAGTCGTGGCACATTCAAGAAAATGACCGTCTGAAACAAACGAGTACTGTTGGGTGCAAGTTCACATTGCACGACATCCTGCCGTCTGTTTGTACGAGTATGCGTGTGCGAATGCATTTTGGGTATGAATGGAATGTTCGTGTGTTTGTTTGCTTTCGCAATTTTCGCTTGAAGCATTTGCAGGTACTCGCGCATTATGCGCTTCGGCACAACATTGTACGCACTATGAACACTACAAGCAGCAAGGACGAGCTCGCAAAGGAACCCAAGATGGAAGCTTTGCGGTTCGGTTCAATTGATTGTGCAGATTCAGTTCTATCCAACTCGAAATTGTACTGTTTTATTTGGTTGACTATAGTGTAGCAGGGCAGGCACTATAGGGGTACAATTTAGGTGAAGGTTGGATGTTGTTTGTCTGTATCTGCATGCTACAGGGCCAGGGGAAACCAGCGGAACCAGCATTTGGCTGGTTGGGCAAAGACAAAACAGGTTCTGTTTTTAGGACCTGAACCTGGTTGTTGTTTTCCCAGGTTGGAAAAACAGAACCAGAGGTTGTTTACCAACCTACCACCTGCTGTTTTGTCCAGCCAGGTTGGTTCTGCTGCTTGGAATTATTTGGGATCATCCCTAGTTGTTCCCAGGTTGATTCCCAAGGTCCTTGCTAGCTAGACCTATTTATTCCTTCTCTGTTTGTACCTGAATATAGTCAATTTGATTTAAGCGAATTCCTCCCTTGCTGGAATTTCGTTTCTTTGCGGTGCGACGGCGGAATGCTACCCGAGTCAACGCTAGTACGCTAGCACTCCAACGCTAGGCAAACACTTTCCGAGCCATAACTTCGTAATGGCAGAACTTTTCGCGAGGCAACTTGGCATATTTTAAAGCTCTTGTAGTGAGCTTCAATATAGGAAATTCTCAGCTTAATCCGGTCGACGGTCTGGACGATACGCTGCGCGACGTTCAAGGTACTCTTGTTATTTTGACTAAGTTATTCTTGATCCCTCTCTCTACAAACTCGGACCAAAGGATAGGGGCTGGTCTTGTACCAGGCACCCAAGGACCCTTGGAGGTGACCCCGAGGAGAGGTTTTCAGTTTGATAAAGTCTTAATAGCTTGATTTTATTAGGCCCTTACACCAACAAGCTGGTATCAGAGTTGTGTTATAGTGATCCTCGATATAGGTAGCTATGGCGGGCAACACCTCGACGGGAGCTGGTGAATCTTCAGCCCAAGATCGTAGCGGCAGCCATGATTTTGGTGTTTCAGCGCCAAGGGGAGCGCGAACAAACCAGGGCTCGCTGGTCAAGGAGGTGCTGAAGAATTTCACCGTCGAGACGTTCAATGGTGAGGGCTATGATGATTGGGCCTGGAAAATGCAACTTTATTTCCCTCACATCGGTTTGCTGAAACTAATGATTGGGGAGGAGCCTAGACCGAGTGACCCTGCCCTTCAGGAAGATTGGGACGAGCGCGCCTCAGCTGGCTACTACTTGATGTCGCAGAGTTTGGAGCTGAACCAGCGTCACCACGTCATGCACTTGCTGCCAGAGATTGAGTGCGGTCCAAAGGCGTGGACGGTGTTGAAGGAGCTGCACGCCCCTACCTCCATTGCTGCGACGCTCATGATGGAGAGGGAGGTGTCCGCGTTACGCCTGAGCGAGGGAGAGCCAGTGCAACCCATCCTGGACAAAATACGTGATCTCTACGCGAAGCTGGCGATCGCGGGAATCACCTACCCGGAGCAGACCAAGTGCCTGAAGATGCTCTCGCTGCTGCCGGAATCATGGCTTCAATTCACGAGCGGATTGAGCCTGCCGCAGAACCAGAGCTCGTGGACACTCGAGTGGGTGCGGACAAAGATTCTAGAGGAGGACTTCCGTCGCCGTCAACTGAGGGGTGGAGACGACGGCAGCAGCGGCTACGGAATGCAAGGGAGCCGACGTGGCAGAGGACGTGGCTTCGGTGGTGCTGGACGCGGTGCAAAGAAGGACGACGACTCCAACGATCAACAAGGAGGTACCGGGTGGGGTCGCGGTGCGAAACAGGGAGTTGCTGGTATTGTGAGAAGGAGGGGCACCCCTGGTTTTTGTGCTATAAGAAACCTGATGGATGGACCCCCCAGAATCGTCACCAGGATGGCGGATCGCGGAGGAACCAGAAAAACGGCGCGAGCATGGTTGCCAATTCGTCCAACAACAACCCGAAGAGCAACGGCGGTGCGGAAAAGAAGAAGGAGCGCACCGCGGGCCAGTTCTTCCATATTGGAGAGCAGGGGGAGCAGGGGGAGCAAGGAGGCGCCTCTGCTTAGGTTGGAGCAGAGCTGCACCCCCTCGATTATTGGGTGTTGAACACGGGCGCTGCTTGGACGATAACGCCGCAAAAAGACCTGCTGGACCACGTACAAGCTGCACCGATCAACGAGGTGTGCTCCGCCTCTGGACACGCGCTGAAGGTGGCTGGTGCGGGACGAGCTGCGTTTAAGGGAGCAGAAGGCAAGCCGGTGGTGCTGCACGACGTTCTCCTTGTTCCTGAACTCAAGGCCAACCTCATCTCCCTCCGTAAGCTTGGCAAGTCTGGGGTGAGCACTAGCACGGATGGGGCACGCACTTGCAAGGGGCAGCTGGGCAATCGGGTGCTTTGGGATCTGCACGAGAGTACGGACGTGTACAGATCCACGTGGCAGCTGCCAGCATTGGTGTGGCACGGTGGGGGGCAGGCTGGAGAGGGGTCTGCATCCAAGGGGGAGTGCAATGCCGTTGGAAGGGTTGGTGTGAAAGTGTCGGCCAGATCTGGGGAGACGGATTGGGCAACGGCATACCAACGCTTGGGGCATGTGGCAATGCCCTTGTTGAAGCAGTTGGAGAAAGATGGAGCCGTTAAGGGTCTGAAGCTGAACGGACAGCCACCTGATGAGAATTGTGAAATCTGTTTGCTCTCAAAGTTTACCCGTTTCCCCTTCCATAGTGTGGCTGGCAGGAGCAAGAAGCCATTGGAGCTGGTCCACATGGACTTGGTGGTGCCGCTGCCGGTTCAGGGGCACAAGGGGGAGCGGTACTTTCTGACCATAGTGGATGATTGGAGCAGGCTTATGTGGGCATATCCGCTGAAGCAAAAGGACCATGCCGCCTCTACAATAGGGGAAGATTGGCTGCCATTCGTGGAGAAGCAAGCAGAGTGTGTGGTGAAGCGGATTAGGACAGATCGGGTGGTGAGTTCCTTGGAGCTGAGATGACAGCCTGGCTCAAGAATCAAGGCATCCAGAAGGAGCTGATCACGGCTTACACCCCACAGTCTAACGTTGTAGCAGAACGGGCGAACCGGACAATTCTGGAGACAGCTAGGGCGCTGCTCATAGAATCTGGGCTGGGCAACTTGATGTGGCCCCATGCTGTTCGGCACGCTACCGTCGCTAGGAACAGGGTACTCACAAAGGTTGGGGATGACTTGTGGGTGCCGTTGGAGAGGTGGCTTGGGAGGAAGCCGCCGATGGACATGCTGAGGGTGTTCGGTTGCATGGCAGTCGCCCACGT